CCTCAGGGTATAGCTGGGTTCTTGCACAACTGGAGTTGGATAATTTGCATTTACCTCTCCCTACGAATTCCCCAGGAAATCCACTTAACACTTACTGTTCCAAAATCCATACTTGTCTGGCACATTTTCAATATAGTCAAACTTCCAGGTCTCACATCTATGACATCTCCCCCCAGTAGAGAGGTTACATACAATCCTGACTTACAATAATAGATAAACTTAATACAGTGTCAACCTTATACTCCTATAATCCTATCCTACTTAAACCGAAAAGTCTGTCAAGGATATTGCAGGAAATTGCCCTATCTGTCACATAGGCACAGTGGTTTTGCAGCATATGCATGCCATTCCAGGAAGCTGTTGAATTTGATCCAGAAATTTCAGTAAACTGAAAGCTTGTGTTCTGGTCTGTACAATCCAAATTAATGGTTGAGAGAAAACCTGATAATCAACAGAAGCCATAGCTGTATACACTAAACATAGAAATTGGAGAGAATTTTCCTCCCATAAATGAAGAGAGAGAAAGTGGAGATGATTATCTCACCATAAAAGGAACAAGTCACCCTTTTAAAAAATATGAACCTGCTTTATCTAGAGCTCGGAACTTAATCAGGATCAGATTGCTTTCTTCACCAACCCACGGACCTAGAGGGCATGAAAGCAAGTGTTATAAAACAGAAAAGTCTCTGCTGATGTTGTAATTTGTGTTGACACCTGGCTGAAGAGACTTTTATGATTTGCTCCACCCATTACTCAATATATTCTTCCATTTTTCTCCCTTCATCCTCATTTGCTTCCTGCTAGTAAAGTTGGTGGATTAATATGTGGAGAGTATCACACAGAACATTTAACTCTCTCTTCTAGAATGTGGACACTCTGGCACTTACAATGCATTTTAATATTATTCTGTCTCTCTGTGCTGGATACCAAAGGGTAAGTAGCACAATACTGAGTGTACCTTCATGTACCTATTTTGGATAATGTTAAAGGCAAATATTCATTCTGTCCTTTTAAATGAAGGATATTATTCAAATGAATCATGTTATTTTAAAAATAATGCAATAATTTCCTTCTATTGAAACTTTTTTTGTGTTGGCTACTGGCCATGACAAAGCTCTGGGACACATCTGGATTGCTCCATGGCACATCTGGAGCGGAGGGACCTTGAACAAACCGTCCATAAAATTAACAATCTCTTTTTGACTGCTGTGAACATTAATCACCTGTCTGCCTGTCTTTCTAGCCAGATATTTCACCATGGAATCTAATTGCTATGCAACAAGTTAAAAACAGCACTGAGTGTGCTTTAACTGGCAATATTCTTCCAGCTTGGTCTTGGTCCTGGAGTTCATAGTTGGGTGGCTTTGTTTGCTTTGGTTTGTCCATCTTCAATCTTCTTCTTTCCTGCTTAGCTGTAAGGCAGCCTGCTTCAGGAAGCATCTTCCAGTTACCTTGTGTTTCTTTACTTCATGCGTCTCTGCTGAAATAGATTAAAATGAATGCCATTATTTGTTCCTATTTCTATGCATATCATTGCTTAGATTTTGATGGCAGGCAGTTTACTGCACATCTGTGGTGTATTCACTTGGGGAGAAATTCTCCACCCCACTTCAGGCCTGAATGAAGGGGCTTGAAGAAGGGGTACCATAGAGATTGGATGGAGGGAGCAGAATCCTGTCTCCCACTGGCTGTAGAGCACCAGAAGAGTCAGTTCAGAGCTGCTGTTGCAGCCTTAAGGTGTTTGCAGTCCATTTCTGCTTGTTCCACATTCCCACACTTATGTATGGGGTGTACAGCCAATGGATCTATTAATTGGAGATACAGCTTCCCTGCCGCTGCCCTGTTCTATGTTGGTGCTTGGAGCCCAGTTTTGGTTTAGGCCCATCTCTATCATGCACTGCGCTTTATTATTTCTGTAGTGCCGCCAGGCATGCATGGTACTTTATAGACAAATTGAAGGACAGGTCCCTGCCTGAAGGAGCTTTCAATGTAGTTTAGAGAAAGGGTTTCAAGTGCTGATAAACAAAGGTGATGGGACGTGTGGGGAAGGTGCAGGAAATACAAGCATTCTAGCAATAGCCATGAGATATATTCCGGCTACGTGCACATCAAAATGGTAGTATTTTACACCAGTTTGCATAGGTGTAAATGATGACACAAGGTGCGAGGTAGTGGTGAATCAGCCTGTTTATCTGAACTAAGCCTTATCCAGTTATCCCTCATCCAGATCCCAATCCTTAACCGTGAGTAGTATCCCCCACATAATGAAGATAACTCACCCCATCTCTGACACAGCCTCACAGCCTCACGACAATGAAAAAGTGAAGACACAAGGGAACTTTGTAGCACATATATGAGGGGGGCCTTTGTTCTGGCAAACAAATTAAAACGGTATATATGCAAGGAAAGGCCATCTGTTCTCCTAGTGCCATCTCCCAGGAGCACCGAGGGCTCTACCTTTCCCTTTTAATGTGTGTGGTTAAAACAATTGGTTTTTTGAATGTTTTTTAAAGTCCACAAGGATTTCACAGAGCATTTTCCTTGGCAGGCTCAAGCAAACAGATCCAACCAGTGGCTTTGGAACCTGGGATCCTGGAACAGGTACTTACCTCTCTCTCTCTCTCTTTCTTGTATTGTTAATGTCCCATAGAATCATAGGGTTAGAAGGGACTGCAAGGGTCATCTAGTCTCATCCCCTGCCAAGATGCAACATTTGTTGTGGTTAAACCATCCAAGATAGATGGCGATCCAGCCTCCTTTTGAAAACCTCCAGTGAAGGAGCTTCCCCAACTTCCATGTGAAGTTTGTTCCATTGTCCTGAGGTTTAATGTATCAGTGTTGCCCAGAAAATATTATCCTTTAATCCCACTGTGTTTCAGATTACATCACCAGATGTGATTTTAACAACAACTCGAGACCGTTTTGTGACTGGACCCAGCCCTGTACAGTGAACCAAGGAGCTTGGATAAGAACCAAACATGCCACTCCAACCAGTGGAACAGGTCCAGATGGAGACTACCCGGATGGAAGTAGGAGATCAATTATAACCTTGTTGATTTCCCTCTGAATGTAACATATGCTGGGCTTTTCTTCCTTTCTTAAAAAAATATGGTCCATTCAGCTTTTAAAAATGTTCCTTCTGCCACTAATTTGCTTTTCTATTGAGACCTGATTTTGCTAAGTGCAAAATTCTCTCACCCTGTCAATCACAGATAAATTAACCTGACTTGCCCCATGGCGGGATGGAAGTCACTGTCAATGCAGCAAAGCAGAAAAATGCTAGATACATAATACTGTAGACACCAAGGAGAGCGCAGACTTCACCATTTGTACAAAACTTTATTCAAGGGAGGTTTGGTAGCCAGATTATATTCAGATCAATTAATGGCAATAAAAGTAATGACTCTGGAGCCAGCATGGACACTACACATTATTCAGGCTGGCACAGAGTATTACAAAGATTACAAAGACTGAATTGCTAAAAATATATTTGAAAAGCAGGTCATAGGTTATGTGCGATCAGAAAAGTGAGTTTGCATGTAGTCAGATCATCAAGAGCTATGGCTTCTGGGGATCTGTCTCTATCCATTTATTGTATGCAGTGTTGTTGTAGCCATGTTGGTCCATTTATATCATCACCGTGCTATCTGATCACTTAAAAGGGATTCAGTCTCCCAGATCTTAACTGCAGCCATATTACCTAGTGCTATTCCCTTCTCAGATGTCACAGACTGAACAGCATCAAACCTAATCAGTACTTGGACTAGAATAGACCTGATTGGGAAATTATCTCTTGGAATGATTTTCTGATGAAAAATGCAGTTTGTGAAAATTTTATTTTGATTTTGCTGAAAAATTTCAATTTTCTATCAGGAAAATTAAAATAAAATATTTTATTTTGGGTCAATTCAACCTGAATCAGATGATTTTTTTTAACTGACCCAAAATGTTTAATTTCAAATCAATTAAAAAAACTCTTAACTAATTTCGCTCTGGTGCACTGTCTTATGGGAGCTGAAGTTCCACCCCCATTCTCTCCTATGGGCCAAGCTCCCTGGAGGACTACATCCCTCAAAAGGCAATGTGTTGATTTTCATCTGTCCAAGCTGTATAGTGCATCATGGGAATCACATGACCTGATGCATTATGGGAGTTGTAGTCTGGCCAGGGTACCTGGCCAATAAGTGTGATGGGGGCCAAAAATATAACTCATATAAAGCAATGTACCATAGGGAAGCAGTTTAGTGTTCAAATGAAGTGTTTTGATTTTGTAAATATTTTAAATGTTTCAATTCAATCAAAAATGTCAAAATGAAATGTTCCAACATTTTCAAATAGAATTGTTTTGGACTATCTTGTTTCATGTAAATTTCAAAATTGCAACTTTTCATCCTGTTTCAGAATGAAAACAAATGTCGTGATTTCCTGCAGGTTGCAAAATCATAATTGTGCTCAGCTGTAGGCCAGAGACCTTAAAGGAGAAACTAGGTGCTGAAGGAAGGAGTGTTCAGTAGCTGGCACTCTTCCCTCTTAGTCAGAACAAAACCAAGCATGGAATAAGGGGGAACTATGCCATCTTTTAGAAGTGACATTAAAGGTTTTGACCAAGTGTGATCATGAAAAATTCCATAGCACTGTTTTGTAAGAGATGGGGTGTTTTAGCTCTGGTCTCCAGGTTGTATTCAGGTCTGGGTAGTTGCATTTTGCCTACCAACAGCTAGAAACAATATTCTCTTTCATTTCTTGCCCGTATTTGTAATGTAGTGTTGCTCTGTGCTGTTAAATAATGCCCAAGACCCACTCTAGAAGTGGTTAACACTTCAATTTTAAATACTACCTGAGAAAACACAAGGATTTAGCAATTGATTTGTTCTTTTCACCCTGCAGATGGCTATTTTATTTACCAAGAGGCCAGTAACCTAATCCCATTCGACACCAACAGGATTGAGAGTCCTGAAATTGTGGTTTCTGGAGAGATATGCATAGACTTCTGGTATCACATGTTTGGGTCAGAGGACCTGAATGAGCTGAAAGTGATTGTTCAGAACGAGGGAGTGGAAGCTCTGAAGTGGAGTCGTAAGGGAAACCAGAGTTCTTCCTGGATCTATGGTTTCACCACTGTTACCTTTATGACTGAGAGAAGGATAAAGGTAATTATACTGAGAACACACAACTTTGTACAGTATGAAAAGGCTGCCAAGTTTTGCCTTGCCCTTGCACGCTTTAAGGGATTGTGCCAAAAATCAAGGAAATGTGGGTTACACCTTGCGATACAATGATCTTAAACAAAATGTAGTTATATTGCAATTACAGTGTAATTACAGTGGTTTTGGCCCCTCTGATTACCACTACTTCATACCATGTTAGCTGTATGGCTGAGAATAACTGAGAACTGCTTGGACAAGATACATACAAAATGATGGGGTCTACATTAGCTGTTACCATTCAAGAAAGATTTTAGTCACTGTGGATAGTTCTCTAAAAACATCCGCTCAATGTGCAGCAGCAGCCAAAAGAGCTAACAGAATGTTAGGAACCATTAGGAAAAGAATAGAGAACAAGACAGAAAATATCGTAATGCCTCTATATAAATCCATGGCACACTCACATCTTGAATACTGTGTGCAGATCTGGTTGCCCCATCTCAAAAAAGATACGTTAGAATTGGAAAAGGTACAGAGAAGGGCAACTAAAATGATTAGGGGTATGGAACAGCTTCCGTATGAGAAGAGATTAAAAAGTCAGGGATTTTTCAGCTTGGAAAAGAGACGACTAAGGGTGGAGATATGATAGAGGTCTATAAAATGTTGAATGGTATGGAGAAAATGAACAAGGAAGTGTTATTTACTCCTTCACATAACACAAGAAGTAGGGGTGACCCAATGAAATTAATAGGCAACAGGTTTAAAATAAAGAAAAGGAAGTACTTCTTCACACAACACACAGTCAACCTGTGAAACTCTTTGCCAGGAGATGTTGGGAAGACCAAAATTATAACAGGGTTCAAAAAGAACCAAGTAAGTTCACAGAGGACAGGTCCATCAATGGCTGTTAGCCAGGATGGGATGGGATGCAACATCATGCTCTGAGTATCCCTAGCCTCTGTTTGCCAGAAGCTGGGAGTGGATGACAGGGGATGGATCACTTGATAATTCCCTGTTCTGTTCATTCCCTCTGAAGCATCTGGCATTGGCCACTGTCAGAAGACAGGATATTGGGGTAGATGGATCATTGCTCTTACCCAGTATGGCCAGTCTTATGTTTTTAATTAGGGTGTAAACACAATGTAGTTTATAAACCTGAATTCTAAAATGACATGCACTAGGAAACTAAAGAGGTGATAATGAATGATTTAGCCATGTCGTTAGCCTTCCATCTTATAAATTAGTAATAACTGTCAAAAAGCATAAGCACAATGGAGTTACATCATAACTGGACTTTAATTACATGGTAATTAAGGCCACTGTATTATAAAATATAACTAAAATATTCTGTGTACAAAAGCTGTCGTGGGAGTGGGGAGGAGTCTGGAATTATTCCCATTTTGGCATATTCCTGCCCTTGGAATTCCAGTGGCGCTGCACCGTAACTGCTTAAAATATGCATCAGATAATTGCAATCCGAGCAAAATATTTATTTCAAATGTTCTGTAACTTGTTGGCTTTTCAGATATTGCTAATCATATAGTTCTGCTATAGCACTTTGGAAACATCATTAGATTGATTCTTATGCATACTTATACATACATCATCTTATACTTAAGTTGTAAGCTTGAGACCGGAACTGTCTTTTTGTCACGTGTTTGTACAGCACCTAGTACAATGTGGCCTTGGTCTATAACTGGAGCCTATAGGCTCTGCTGCAGATCATGAATACATATAATGATCACTGCTCTTTCTGGCCCATGTTACAGAGGTCCAGATCTTGCTGCCCTTTTGGCAAGCATTTATTTCAGTTTCTCATTCTTTATATTGGTGAACCCTTCATCATGGGTTCCCTGCACAATGTGGGATCTGAACGGTGCTTTGCGAACATTTGGATCTACATTCAGATCTTAACATTACAACTTGGGCCCGCCCCTATTTTTCATGCTGATATTCGGTGTCTCTTAACAATTTGTCCCCCATACTAGTTGTTCCCAGTTAGAAATATTTCTTAGTTGTGCTTAATTCCACACTCACTTACAGTAAATTTACCATTCCCTCAAATAAAACTACTTTACACCAGTGCAACTAAGACAACAATCAGTCCCAGTTGCTTTTAGTAAGATGATATGTAAATATATATTTCTCTCCCTCATGTTGCCATGCATTTGAAGCCAGAGTCCTTCCCTAAATGTGGCTTGTTTTGTTGTGAGTCAAGTTTCAAATGCTGGATGCTACCTAAGGCTGGCCCTTAGACTTAAGTAGCATCTTAGAAAAGATTAATAATCAATAATCAGTATCACCTATCACCAGGAAAAATGGAATTGTAGTGTCTCTTCCAGTCCCTGCTTTAATACACAACGTTTTTCCAAGGACAAAAAGAAAAGGAGTACTTGTGGCACCTTAGAGACTAACAAATAAATTTTCTTTTTGCGAATACAGACTAACACGGCTGCTACTCTGAAACCTTTCCAAGGAGAGAAAGGGAACTCTCTCATATGAGCCATATAAAATAGAGTAGAAAAAGCACTTAGAAAATACAGCGAAGGGAATGATCCTGCATTGGCTGTGAGGCTGTGCCTTTTCATCTCCCAAATATGTCTGATTCTATTATTCACTTTGCATCTTGTCTAGGTCATTTTTGAGGCTGTTCGAGGATTTACAGAATATGGGGACACAGCTGTGGACAATGTAGGTGTCAGGAATGGGCCCTGTGGTAAGTCTATCCCTATGTCTCAGTGATTCCCAACCCCTTTTCCCACTTGTTTACTATACCACAGTCCAGTAGAGAATAAGGACTCCCAAAGATCCAAAGCTCATAAAAAGGAAGTGAAAAAATTCACAATGACGTACATCTAAATTTACCGGGTTTTTCCCTAGTTTCCACCCAAATCCCTCCTCGGAATCTCAATTTTGTTCCAAACGAGCTGCAAGGTTGTCTGAAAATCAGTCCATTTTTATGAAATTCAGCAAATATAGGTTTGTAATAAAACTCTAAAGCAGATGAATGTCACCTGTCTTGGGGTTTCACTGAGCTCTCTACTCAACCTGTAATAGTAAAACAAGAAAGAGCCAGAACTCTTCTCAAAGGAGCTCTGCAAAACACACTGCACTGTAATATACACAGAGGAATAACAACTAATCAGTAGAAATGAAGCACAGCCCAAACCCTCAGATCATAATATTATGGGCTTTGGGGAAATTTGATTCTGAATTGGAATTTGAGGCTGGTCCATATCTTTATAATCTACCAAAACAAAATCTTTGATCTGAACATACCTAAACTATGGAATAGTCCTGTCCTCTAAAATGCTTGGTAACCCCTCCCAGCTTGGCGTCATCTGCAAATTTTATAAGAATACTCTCCACTCCATTATCCAAGTCACTAATGAAAATATTGAATAGTACTGGGGCTAGACTGACCCCTGCAGGATTGCCATAGATACAACCTCATGGTATGACAGTGAACCACTGAAAATTAGTCTTTGGGTACCGTTTTTCAACCAGTTGTGCACCCATTTCATAGTAATCTCATCTGAAATTTTATGTATGTATGGAGCACTTTGAATATATATAACACTGTATATCTCACTAATGAACATTATTATTACTATAGAAAATATGTGTGAGAAGATATCTCCAGAAACAGGGCCTGCTTCTCTCCTATCTGTAAGATTCTTTTTCTATAATGACAATAAAATGACTCAGATTTACAGTAGCATAAAACTGCAGGGAGGTTGACAGACTACATTCTGGGCAAAGAAATCCTCAGAATGAATAGTTGTCTTTAAGATCCAATGAGTAGTGTTTTAATACTCTTGATGTTTATTGTTCTTACACTTTCTGGTTTCCCCAGGCTGTGCAGCATACTATTCAGCCACTGGATGGAGCACAAATGTAATATCAAGAGTTAGAACAAAAGTGCTGCTCTCAGTGTTCAATTTTATGGCTACTAATGAAGACAAAGGTCATGCTAGTCAATAACACTGGTGAAAAAAAATTCTCGAAACATTTTTGATAGAAAACACCTATTTAACTAAATGGAAATTTTTATGGGAAAACATCATTTTCATTGAATTTTTTTCATGCGAAAAATTTAATTTCCCACCCAGCTGTACTAACCAGCCAGGGAGTTTTATTCTTGATTTTCATTTTTTTATTTATAGATTTTTTTTTTCACTTTACATCTTTAGGGACAAAATTTTTAGACCCAGAGTCTCCTCTTCTTTCTGCACCAGCAGAACAAAATAACCCCAAAGCTAGAATAGAGGGATCTGCTGGTGGTGCAAAGTCAGTGCAACAGTTCCTAGCTCACCATTCCCGCTCTGGTTTCAGAGTAACAGCCGTGTTAGTCTGTATTCGCAAAAATAAAAGGAGTACTTGTGGCACCTTAGAGACTAACCAATTTATTTGAGCATAAGCTTTCGTGAGCTACAGCTCACTTCATCGGATGCATACTGTGGAAAGTGTAGAAGATCTTTTTATATACACACAAAGCATGAAAAAATACCTCCTCCCACCCCACTCTCCTGCTGATAATAGCTTATCTAAAGTGATCACTCTCCTTACAATAAGAAAAGGAGTACTTGTGGCACCTTAGAGACTAACCAATTTATTTGAGCATAAGCTTTCGTGAGCTACATATGTGTGGGCACATCTATTCAGGGGACACCATCACAGGGCCTAATAACATCAGCCACACTATCAGAGGCTCGTTCACCTGCACATCCACCAATGTGATATATGCCATCATGTGCCAGCAATGCCCCTCTGCCATGTACATTGGTCAAACTGGACAGTCTCTACATAAAAGAATAAATGGACACAAATCAGATGTCAAGAATTATAACATTCATAAACCAGTCGGAGAACACTTCAATCTCTCTAGTCACTCGATCTCAGACCTGAAGGTCGCAATATTAAAACAAAAAAACTTCAAATCCAGACTCCAGCGAGAAACTGTTGAATTGGAATTCATTTGCAAATTGGATACAATTAACTTAGGCTTGAATAGAGACTGGGAGTGGCTAAGTCATTATGCAAGGTAACCTATTTCCCCTTGTTTTTTCCTACCCCCCCCCCCCAGACGTTTGTGTTAAACCCTGGATTTGTGCTGGAAATGGCCCACCTTGATTATCATACACATTGTAAGGAGAGTGGTCACTTTAGATAAGCTATTACCAGCAGGAGAGTGGGTTTGTGTGTGTGTGGGGGGGGTGAGAAAACCTGGATTTGTGCTGGAAATGGCCCACCTTGATTATCATACACATTGTAAGGAGAGTGATCACTTTAGATAAGCTATTACCAGCAGGAGAGTGGGGTGGGAGGAGGTATTTTTTCATGCTTTGTGTGTATATAAAAAGATCTTCTACACTTTCCACAGTATGCATCCGATGAAGTGAGCTGTAGCTCACGAAAGCTTATGCTCAAATAAATTGGTTAGTCTCTAAGGTGCCATTCCCGCTCTGCGGCTGGTGTAGGAGGCATTGTTAGAGGAAGAAGGTGTGGCCAGGCTCATCTGCCCTTTCTGGCTGCCCTTTGGGTTTGTTGGCAGCAAGCACAAATCGGAGCAGCCTAAAGCTGATCTATTGTATTCTGGGTGATCATACTGGTGCACTAAGTAAGTGTAAAGGAGAGTTAAAGACACCTTTGCACATTCCCTCCTGCATTGCAGGGCTGCATTGTGTGTTCCTCAACCACCAGCAAGGGACTTGGTCCTAGACTCAAACTTGCCTCTAGTTTTGTTCATACAATCTTTGCATGCCTACCTGTTTACACAGTTTGTGTACAAGCAAATACAAAGAGTGTGTATGCTGAATTTGAGCCCATGTTTGGAAATAAAGCATACTTTTTCAAAGAAGCCTCCACATGACCTATAAAATTGCTCATGCAATTTTTCCTGACTCAGAGTTTGTACACAGAAATTAATCAGGTATTTACATGTGCAAACTATATTTGCATGTGCAAATTCACACTTGATGTGCAAAATCAGAGATTTCATAGGAGCAGCATATTGGATGTGAAGAACTGAAAGTGCAAAAAGCCTGCACATGAAGATATGCTGGGACCATTTTGGAGTCAACTCTTTAAAATGTGTATTCGCATTTAAGGTTTAAGCTCTTTACATATCTGGAATAATTTCAGTCATTGCATAGTATTTGTTAGACCTCAAACTGGTCATTTTGTCCTCCCAGGAAATTATTTTTTTTAATAAACTATACTGCATAAAAAAGAACACATTCAATTGAGTTTGATGGGTTTCCAGTTGCATGCACAACTAGTTTATAGGCATTAATTATCATTATTGTATACAATTATTCCATCATTTTTCAAAGATTTTCATCCTGGCCATATGTGGCTTCCATTTTTGTACCACAATTTAGTGACTACAAATAATGCTGTTTGTAGATTAAGTCAGATAGATGTCTAATTCACTGATTTGTGGACTCATTCAGGTATTTATGCATCTAAATGACCTATAGTGCATCCATAAATAATTGGGGAAGAGTATATTCAGTAAACTAGTTAATCAGTCAGATGTAACTCACTCAAGGTAGGTCTCCTGGTTGCATCATGTGTTATTGCATTCTCAATTCATCATGGAATGATTTAAGGGGACTGCAACAAATGATGCTAGCTGACTTTCATTCAGCAAGGAAAAAGAGAAAGTGCTTGTGTGCTAGGAAGGATTTAGGTGTCTCTCTGTGTTGCTGCATTACCTTCACAACTGCAGAGGTTTAAATACAAACGTTACTAGGTCACCAGTGGAATGAGTTTAATGTTGGCCACCTGGTCACATTGGCCCTAGTGGCTCCTATCACACAAGGACAACGCACTATAACATCCATTTTAGGAGAAGTCCAGCTGCTAGAAGCTAGAACGTATAGCAGGCAGGAAGACATCAGCATCAGCAGAGCTTTTTAAGACACCTTGCATGGTGCCTTCACTTGTTCTGTCTGTCATTAGGCAGCTCTTTCAGTTCTTGTTTTCACACAGAGTAAATATCATTTTGGGGAAATAAAGAAAAGCAAGGACTAGAAAATTGTAACTGCATCAATATTATTTTGTTACTACTGTGCTGCATCTGCTGCCAGGCCTGCAATTCCCAGAGCTGCCAACACCTATAGATGATGTGACTTTCGCTGCTCTGACAGATAAACCAGAAGAAGCCACACATCCAACTGCAAATACATTTCCAGCAAAGGAGGTGCAGGCTGTGGCAGGCTCAGTGGCTATTACCCAGCCAGAAATCAGAAGCATTTCTAAAAACTCTTTTACTTACACCAGTTTTACACTGGGACAGTTCCACTGACTCTAGCAGAAATATTCCTGATTTACACTGGTGTAAAGGAGGGGAGAATGAAGCCTTGTGTTTTTGGTGAACACGTACAGTGATGATTCTGTAGTAATAATTAATTGTCTTTGGTGATCTTTTTTAGTGATGGTGCCATCTACCACTCCCCCAGCATCATCAACTGCAACAACAGAATCTTCTTTGCCAGTGATAACAGGTAATTGTTATTCATATACACACACTAGCCAATAGACAGCAAGAGGAATTCTGGTTTTATTCCTAGCTCTGCAACTGATTTGATTTACTTAGTCTTTCCTTGCTTCAGCATCCCTATCTGTAAAGTGGGGAGAAAAATATTTCCCTATCACACAGGTGGTGTTTTAGGGTTTACTTTGTTAATGTTGTTGAGCACTTTGAGACCTTTAAATGAAAGGTGCTGTAGAAATACAGAGCATGGTCCTTGCATGGTTCAGGAGCACTCCAGAGTCAAAGGTGTTCATATCTGTCAGCTGAACATGCCTGTGTATTAATGCAGCTATATTCCATTCTTCATCTGCAGAGGCAACCTGCAGTGTGCATAGTGACCCCCACTATTACACTTTTGACAAGCAGTCTCACACATTCATGGGAAATTGCACCTACACCCTGTCCAAGCTTTGTGATGGGAACAGTACGCTGCCCTACTTCAATGTGGAAGCAGCGAATGAACACAGAGGAGGCAACATGCGCGTGTCCTACGTCCAATATGTGGATGTTGATGTTTATGACTTCAGGATAACTCTGGGTAAAAACAGGGTTGTTAAGGTAAGAACTGGGGTCTAAAATGAAAGTCCGGATCTCTCTATTTTACCTACTGACTATATTTTTAGCCTCTTATCATGAATGTAGAATTGTGTTTATGGTACAAATCACAGGGAAACGTACAATTAAAGAAAAAAAGCAATACTAACCTTCCCTCGAAGTGCCCCGTTTAATGTATTTACTCCCAGTTTGTATGGTAGTCAGACACCTCCAGTTTAATGATGGCATAAATGCCTAGAGAGAGAGAATAATAATTACAAATTGAAAAACTACTTAAAGACACTGGGCCTCTAAGAGGTTTTGGCACAGAACTAATGGCCCAGAGGCAGTGTGAGCTATAGTTGTTTTAAGCCACGTTTGCACCCCACAATCTCAGTCTGTTCCATGGACTACAGACATGCTTAAAGGACTATGAAAAAGGGGGGGGGGAGCGAGTGTGTGTGGGGTGGTTCTATCATAATTCTAGCCAAAATTAATTTTCAGACCCTTGGTAAGACAGTGCTTAAAGTTTGCCCCCCAGTGACCCTACTCAAATTATATATTTATTTGGCCAGTTCTGTGACCCTGCCCACTTTAAGTACTGGTTAGAGAGGCCCCCTGCATAACTTAGCCTGGGAAAGGGGGTGGAGGGGCTGACTTAATTACAACAACCTCTCTGGGCTGCTCTATGGACAGCAGAACTGCATGCTGTACTCCCCACACAATTAGCCCCTTCCATCCCCACCCTTGGCACCCACCCTAAGCTAGGGTATCCAAGAGGATATTTGAAGGACAACAATCTTACAGCTGTCTACCCCTGTGCTTGCATCCCCTCAAGCCAAGACATGGCTGCAAAGGTTCTTCAGCTCTAGCACCCTCTCTGCCATTCTGGTTCAGCACCTTCCATGGCCTAGCCCTCCCACCAGGTCACCTTTCCAGTTCAGTCCCCTTCCAGGGTCATTACAGTCCAACTAGAAGTTCAACCACACATCCAAACAAACTCCTTATCTGCCCCTCTTGGGCTACTCTTCAGCCCCCCTTCTGGGCTCAGTTCTCAGCAATTCTCAGCAATAACCCTCTGGGTTAACTTTTTCACAGATCCCTACTCCCAGGCCCTGCAGCATTCTCCCTTGCTCTCTCAGATGAGCTCTGACTCCCAGGCCTTTCTCCCCAGAGGCCCTTTTTCCTCCCAGGTTCCCCCTACCTTTCCTCTGTGTGGTCTCTGGCAGCTTCTCTAGGGCCCTCTCTGCTTCTTACAGACCTCCTGCAGGGCTCCGCAACGGACCCCTGGGTTGCCACCTCTGAAGTCCACAGAAACCAGAACATGGGGTGGCCAGTCTGGGCCAGCAGAGAGTGAGCAGGGCTTGGTGCCACTCGCTCCCTCCTTGCCCTGTTTAAAATGCTGATGCACGACAGAGAGCCAGCAATGGGCCCCGCTTTTCCTTCACAGAGCCATTGAAGGACCCCCAAAGCCCTGGGCCCAGCCCCGCTTTCCCGCACCGAGCCACTGACAGACCTCACGTCTCCGGGCCCGGCCCCGCTTTCCCCCTGAGCCACTGACAGACCTCACGTCTCCGGGCCCTGCCCCACTGACAGACCTCACGTCTCCGGGCCCGGCCCCGCTTTCCCCCTGAGCCACTGACAGATCTCACATCTATGGGCCCGGCCCCACTTTCCCCACTGAGCCACTGACAGACCTCACGTCTATGGGCCCTGCCCCACTGACAGACCTGATGTCTCCGGGCCCGGCCCCGCTTTCCCCCTGAGCCACTGACAGACCTCATGTCTATGGGCCCGGCCCTGCTTTCCCCACCAAGCCACTGACAGACCTCATGTCTATGGGCCCGGCCCTGCTTTCCCCACCAAGCCACTGACAGACCTCACGTCTCTGGGCCCTGCCCCACTGACAGACCTGACGTCTCCGGGCCCGGCCCCGCTTTCCCCCTGAGCCACTGACAGATCTCACGTCTATGGGCCCGGCCCCACTTTCCCCACTGAGCCACTGACAGACCTCACGTCTATGGGCCCTGCCCCACTGACAGACCTGATGTCTCCGGGCCCGGCCCCGCTTTCCCCCTGAGCCACTGACAGACCTCATGTCTATGGGCCCGGCCCTGCTTTCCCCACTGAGCCACTGACAGACCTCACGTCTCTGGGCCCTGCCCCACTGACAGACCTGACGTCTCCGGGCCCGGCCCCGCTTTCCCCCTGAGCCACTGACAGACCTCACGTCTCCGGGCCCTGCCCCACTGACAGACCTCACATCTATGGGCCCGGCCCCGCTTTCCCCACTGAGCCACTGACAGACCTCACGTCTCCGGGCCCGGCCCCGCTTTCCCCCTGAGCCACTGACAGACCTCACGTCTATGGGCCCGGCCCTGCTTTCCCCACTGAGCCACTGACAGACCTCACGTCTCTGGGCCCTGCCCCACTGACAGACCTGACGTCTCCGGGCCCGGCCCCGCTTTCCCCCCTGAGCCACTGACAGACCTCACGTCTCCGGGCCCTGCCCCACTGACAGACCTCACATCTATGGGCCCGGCCCCGCTTTCCCCACTGAGCCACTGACAGACCTCACGTCTCTGGGCCCTGCCCCACTGACAGACCTGACGTCTCCGGGCCCGGCCCCGCTTTCCCCCTGAGCCACTGACAGACCTCACGTCTCCGGGCCCTGCCCCACTGACAGACCTGACGTCTCCGGGCCCGGCCCCGCTTTCCCCCTGAGCCACTGACAGATCTCACGTCTATGGGCCCGGCCCCACTTTCCCCACTGAGCCACTGACAGACCTCACATCTATGGGCCCGGCCCCGCTTTCCCCACCGAGCCACTGACAGACCTCACGTCTATGGGCCCTGCCCCACTGACAGACCTCACGTCTCCGGGCCTGACCCCGCTTTCCCCCTGAGCCACTGACAGACCTCACGTCTATGGGCCCGGCCCCGCTTTCCCCACCGAGCCACTGACAGACCTCACATCTATGGGCCCGGCCCCGCTTTCCCCACCGAGCCACTGACAGACCTCACGTCTATGGGCCCGGCCCCGCTTTCCCCACTGAGCCACTGACAGACCTCACATCTATGGGCCCGGCCCCGCTTTCCCCCCTGAGCCACTGACAGACCTCACGTCTATGGGCCCGGCCCTGCTTTCCCCACCGAGCCACTGACAGACCTCACATCTATGGGCCCGGCCCCGCTTTCCCCACCGAGCCACTGACAGACCTCACGTCTATGGGCCCGGCCCCGCTTTCCCCACTGAGCCACTGACAGACCTCACATCTATGGGCCCGGCCCCGCTTTCCCCCTGAGCCACTGACAGACCTCACGTCTATGGGCCCGGCCCTGCTTTCCCCACCGAGCCACTGACAGACCTCACATCTATGGGCCCGGCCCCGCTTTCCCCACCGAGCCACCGACAGACCTCACGTCTATGGGCCCGGCCCCACTTTCCCCCTGAGCCACTGACAGACCTCACGTCTATGGGCCCGGCCCCGCTTTCCCCACCGAGCCACTGACAGACCTCACATCTATGGGCCCGGCCCCGCTTTCCCCACCGAGCCACTGACAGACCTCACGTCTCCGGGCCTGACCCCGCTTTCCCCCTGAGTCACTGACAGACCTCACGTCTATGGGCCCGGCCCCGCTTTCCCCTGAGCCACTGACAGACCTCACGTCTATGGGCCCGGCCCCTCTTTCCCCCTGAGCCACTGACAGACCTCACGTCTCCGGGCCCTGTACAGTGAGACCTTTCCAGCCTCATATAAGGAAACACAAATGAATATTTAGAACATAAGAATGACCATACTGGGTCAGACCAAAGGTCCATCCAGCCCAGTATCCTGTCTACTGACAGTGGCCAATGCCAGGAGCTCCAGAGGGAGTGAACTTAAAAAGTGATCTCTCTCCTGCCATCCATCTCCATCCTCTGACAAACAGAGGCTAGGGACACCACCCTGGGTAATAGCCAGCAGCTTCTTTTCTTATGCCTTCCTCCTTCCTTTCTTTACTGATTTCATATATGATGATGATGATGTTGATGATGTTTGGATAAAGTAAAATTAATTGAAAACTCCTTTTTATGCTTATATGTAGATTTCTTTAATTAGCAGCTAAAATGAACTTATAGGTGTAAAATATATATATTTTAATTTTACTGACTTTTGCAGCTTCTACTTGGTTTCTCTTGTTCTTTGCTGATTGTACTTCTTGACATTTCATATATATTTAAATATTTAAAGAAAATTAAAGATTTTTGTAAATCATCATGTTCTGAAACTTTATCCAAAACCTCAGATTTAAAGGACCTTATTCCATAAACTTGCTCTTTCGGAATTTGAAAATGAGCCTGTAATTAGTTAATATTTGGACAGCACTTTGGGGTATGGTATGTCTACACTGCAATTAAACACCCGCGGCTGGTCCATGTCAGCAGACTTGGGTTCGCGGGCCTTAGGCTGCTGGACTTTAAAAGATGTTGGGCTCTTGGGCCTTTCCCCCTCACAGGGTCCCAGAGCCTGGGCTCTAGCCCGAGCCTGAATATCTATACTGCAGTTTTACAGGCTGGTAGCCCAAGCCCCACAAGCCCGAGTCAGCTGACATGGCCAATTGCAGGTCTTTAATTGCAGTGTAGAATACCTGAATGTGTAAAATGCTGAGTAGGTGGTAAACAGGCATTCAAGGAGCACAGCATAAATATCCACTGTCGTCAGATCTTATAGATAGTTCTGATGTGTCCACACATGCTTATTTTCTCACATGAGCAGATTCTGTGCCTGCAAATGGAGATGTGAGCTAAATTTGGAGGTACAGCTTTGGAGGCTGCATAAAAAACTTGGCCCTTTAAAGACAAATAATGAAGCCTTTTTGTTTCTTGTGCATGCAGGTGAACGGAGTCATTCAGGTACTTCCTGTGGTACTGTCATCAGGTGTAAATATTTCCTTCAGTGGTCAGTACGTCATGGTTACTACTGCCTTTGGGCTGAGAGTTAAGTTCAATGGAGATCATAGAGCTGAAGTGATTCTCTCCAGTATATACAAGTCTAAAGTCTGTGGAATGTGTGGAAATTACAACGGGTACAAAGCAGATGACTTTCTTAACCCAGATGGAGAGATGGAAGCAAATTCGGTCAGCTTGGGCAACAGCTGGCAGATTTATAATGACTCCAGGTAGGACTCCAAGTGCTATGCTAGTCCTTGGCGGATTGTCAAGATTTTCTGGATGAAAATTAATCATATCAATGCTCATATTGTTCATGTAATTATGAAGTTTCACAGCTGTTTTGATTGGGAAACAGAAAGAGTGAATTTGAGCAAAAATATCGCAAAGGTCCAAACTGGGTCTAAGAATTTTTCATTAATTAGAAATATGAAACTTGAAAACTTTTTTGCCTTTTATGTGCCCTTTCCGTGTGTCCTTCATGTGCAAAATCTGTTTGTAAACCCTTATCAAATCAAAACTGATTCTAACTAAGCCATTGAAAGGCACTAGGGCTATGTCTATGTTGAATTCCAAGTGTATTTTTTTCCCCATTCATTTCATACCCAAAATCAGCAGAAACATTTTTTCTTAAAAATATTTCAAGCTTGGACAGGAGTAAGCCCCGGAATGTTACTAAATACGTTATGCAAAACATCTTGGGCTTCAGTGCATGCAAACTTCATTAGTGAATTTCTCTGCATCTTTTTTCCTCCTAGCTGTGTCCCAGATCTTGGCCATACCCCAAACTGCTCAGATGATGAAAAACAAATGATCCAAAGCAACAAGTACTGCGGGTTGATCACAGATCCAAGTGGCCCGTTCTGGCAGTGCCACTCAGTAGCTGATCCATTGGTTTATTTTGAAGACTGCCTGTATGATCTGTGTGAACTTCATTTGAACAATGCAGCCCTCTGCAATAACCTACAGTCATATGCTGATGTGTGCCAAGCTGCAGTCATTCCTGTGGGAACATGGAGAAATGAAACATTCTGTCGTATGTAGACTTTAGATTATTATAGGGGGGTTGGTAGCGCTCTCTGTTATTAAAGTTGCCTGACATTTCCCATTATAAGTCCCTGTTTTCAATTACTTATAAATTTGTCAAACTTTAACCATGTGGGCTGAAATTTTCCATGCTGGGTGACTGCCTCAGGCTGAATTTTCCAGGGAAAAACTTCAGCCAAAATGGTTCTTCCATTTGTGAGAAGGAGGCTAGGAAAAAAATACCTCATTTCGCCTGTATTAAAAGATTTTAAAGACTTCTTTGAAATGTTCTCACACCCCCATGCTTTGGAGTGGGAACTTGAAATGTGAAATGTGGCAGGGCATGGCTGTTGGTCAGCAATGTGCCTTTTGCAGTCCCTGTGAAAATCTGCTCAAATATGGCCAAGTCAGGAAGCCTTTGAAAAATCACATTTCACACATGCTCAGTAGAGACTTGTTTGAAGTTAACAGCTAAACTTTCTGATGATACTATCCTCACTAAGCCTGCTCCAGTCCCTCACAGCTTCCTGTGCTGACCAAACGGTGCATGCATCCTTCCCACAGAGAAAGTGAGCATGCTCCATGCAGAGGTGAAGCTCGACTTTCCCTGTAATGGCTGCTCTGGGCCGGGGTAGGGCTAGGTAACAGAACTGAGATCAAGGAGCCGGTCTCTCCTGTGCGGTCAGTGACAACCTCCTCCCCCCACATTTGGCCCAGGCAGCATGGAGAAGGATGCTGCTTGATTCAAATGCAAAGCAAGAGCTGGACCATGGGAGGGAAAGGTGTAGATTGGGACCAGGACAAGGTGCTGAGAGGGTGGAACTGGAACTGCCTGGGCAAGGAGTCTGGGACTAGGAATGAGGAGAGACTGAGAGTTGGGGATAGGGGAGAGAAAGAACTGGGACAGGGATGGGCTGGAGGGGACATGACAGCAGGAGCCAGGCTTTGGGGTAGTGGGCAGAAGAGTGCTGGCCGCCCTTCCTGCAGGCCCCATTGACCTGGAGCGGCAAACCACGGCCAGTGGGAGCCGAGATCGGCCAAACCTGTGGATGCAGCAGGTAAACAAACCGGTCCAGCCTTCCAGGAGCTTTCCCTGAACAAGCGGCAGACCAGCTTTGAGAACCACTGCATGAGAGCACATTCCCTACCCAAGTCTGGAATGGAACCCAAGACCCTAAATCGCACCATTCCTCTGCTGTCAGCAAATATCTGTGAAAGCCACTGGCAAAGTGTGTGTTTCATGCCCTGCTACTGAGGTCCTACAGAAAAAATTGGATATGATCATGTAACTAAACACGGTATCATAATGCACACATACAAGGGGCCTGGATAAAGGTTGCATGGGTAACCTTAATTCTGGCATATTTTAACTTTTGCTTGCTTGACTTTACAATTTTAATAAAGTTCTTTCAACATTAGGTGTGGGGAAGTGCGTGGTGGTGGTGATGAGGGTTTAATATATGTAAATAACCAGACATAATCTACAGCAGAACCGCTCCTCTCTCTTGATTTTCTTTTAGTGACGTTAATCAGGAGTTTGGGAAGGAAGAAAAATATAAACTAAGTGATTAACATTAATAATAAATGGAAAAATCACATTAATATAGTCCTGCCACCTAAACGAGCAGCCAAGAAGAGCAAGAAGAGTAATTTGTTTTTTCCCTTAACTCAGTTATATACAATGGAAGTTTCCCTGCAATATTCTGCAGGATAGATGGGGTTTCTTGCCGTCAAAAGGAGAAACTGAAAGTGAACTGGGAGTTTTGATGGAGAATAAAAACAGACGAAGGTCTTCAGTATTTGGCACAAAATGCTTTTAAAAGGAACAAAATATATTATTGCAAATCAGTAGTTAAAAGGATTAATGTGGATGGTTTTTCAATTTACAGCACTGATCTGTCCACGCAACAGTCACTATGAAGCATGCACGGCAGCCTGCCCTGCTACCTGTGTCAACCCGATGGCTCCTGCCAGCTGCAGCCTGCCGTGTGTGGAAGGATGCGTGTGCGACAGTGGCTATCTTCTCTACAACGACGGCTGTGTCCCCAGCAGTCAGTGCGGGTGTTGGCACAATGGCAAACACTACCCTGTTGGCTCTGAATTCTGGACCGATGACACCTGCTCCTCTAAATGCAGATGTCCCTCTCAGGGGAGCAAAGTAACGTGCTCGAACGCAGCCTGCCCAGCCGATCATTACTGTGGGGTTCAGAACGGAAAACCTGGCTGCTACCCTGAGACTTACGGGATCTGCCGCGTCCACAACGACCCTCATTACAACACGTTTGACAGAGAGACTCACCACTTCATGGGGATCTGCACCTACACGCTGGCCAAAGTGTGCGCCAGCTCCAGCTCTCTGCCTTATTTCAATGTAGAAGCCAAGAACGAGCATCGAGGGAAGCCCACGGTGTCCTATGTGCAGAAAGTCCTGGTGGAGGTTTATGGACAACACATAGAAATTCTCAGAAACCGTCCAAGCCAAGTGCTGGTAAGGAGCATTTCCTCAGTAGGCGGATTCCAGATGGGGAGTGAGCTTTGCTCTGTGTCCTTCTGTAAAGGTGACCGTTTCTCACTCTCCTCTGTTGAATATGAGTCAAGAGTGTGCCCTGGTTGCCAAAAAGGCAAACGGCATTTTGGGCTGTGTAAGTAGGAGCATTGCCAGCAGATCGAGGGACTTGATCGTTCCCCTCTATTCGGCATTGGTGAGGCCTCATCTGGAGTACTGTGTCCAGTTTTGGGCCCCACACTACAAGAAGGATGTGGAAAAATTGGAAAGAGTCCAGCGGAGGGCAACAAAGATGGCTGGGGGGCTGGAGCACATGACTTATGAGGAGAGGCTGAGGGAACTGGGATTGTTTAGTCTGCAGAAGAGAAGAATGAGGGGGGATTTGATAGCTGCTTTCAACTACCCGAAAGGGGGTTCCAAAGAGGATGGATCTAGAGTGTTCTCCGTAGTAGCAGATGACAGAACAAGGAGTAATGGTCTCAAGTTGCAGTGGGGGAGGTTTAGGTTGGATATTAGGAAAACCATTTGCGCTAGGAGGGCGGTGAAGCACTGGAATGGGTTACCTAGGGAGGTGGTGGAATCTCCTTCCTGAGAGGTTTTTAAGGTCAGGCTTAAAAAAAGCCCCGGCTGGGATGATTTAGTTGGGGATTGGTCCTGCTTTGAGCAGGGGGTTGGACTAGATGACCTCCTGAGGTCCCTTCCAAGCCTGATATTCTATGATTCTGTGATCCCATGAAGGGGAATCCGTGACTCCTGATCTTTCAAACTTTATATCAAGACGGTCTAAAGGGACCGTCTGCAGCGGGCAGCAGGAGCCTTCCTGGGGTTTGGGTGTTACATCTGGACAACTTGCGCCGAGAGAAAAACAATCCGGAAATGCATGTTACTATTTCACATAGTAATTATTTGCAGAGAATGAGTCAATTTCATTGCTAATTTCTCCCTTACAAGTGTCCTAGGGCCTCACGCTGTGGAAATCACGTGGTACTTTTCCTTCCGTTTCCCATTAGGTCAATGAGGTGCTAATGACCCTTCCTGTCAGCGCAGCTGGTGGGTCAATCAGAGTGAGCAGGAGCGGACGATACGTTACCCTAGAGACAGATTTCAGACTGAGGGTTTCCTATGACACCGATCACTCGGTGGAAGTGAAGGTGCCCACCACCTATTTCAACAGGACCTGTGGCATGTGCGGTAACTTTAACGGTCGGAGACAGGATGACTATATGATGCCCGATGGGCAGCAAGCCAAGAACTCTAATGAGCTGGGAAACAGCTGGCGTGTCATGGACGACGATCCCTCTTGCGGTGGTATCCCACCACCAGACCCCTGCCCTGCAGACCGGGAGAACCTCTACAGAACAGACAGATTCTGTGGCATGATAACCCAGAGGCCTGGCCCCTTTGCGGTCTGCCACTCCGTGATCAATCCTGAGAGCATCTTTGAGAGCTGCGTCTATGACCTCTGTGCGCTGAATGGGAGTGAGGAGCTCCTGTGTAGCGCTCTGGCGACCTACGCGGATGCGTGTCAGGAAGCCGGGGTGACGCTCCCCCCCTGGAGAAATGCCACCTTCTGCGGTGAGTAGCAAATCTGGAGCAACCAGTCCTTGTTCAGCAAACAAATTTGTTCTTTATTGACCTTACATGGTTGTGAAGAACCCTTGTCACCACGTCTGTCTCCCTGTGGGGCGTGTTTCCAAGGGGGCTTTGTCGATCCTAATTCTCTTCCCCTCGTTACCCTTTCAGCTCCCACCTGCTCTGCTCCCAACAGCCACTACGAGCCTTGTATGACTGCCTGCCCTGCCACATGTCTGGACCGCCTCGCCCCCGAGAACTGCAGCAAGCCCTGTGTCGAGGGCTGCGCGTGTAATTCTGGATTCGTGCTCAGCGGAAGCGCCTGTGTGCCAGAAGCCAAGTGTGGCTGTGTGTTCCAGGACATATACTACAGTGTGAGTGAAACCACGGACCTCAGCGCCCTGGGTGGGGAACTGATCTGCCAGCATCACCCTCTTTAATGGCATCCGTTCATGCATTTCTTGTGTGTGTCTCCCGGCAGGAAGGAGAGCGCGTTGTGACGGAGAACTGCACGAGCCGTTGTGAGTGTCTTGGAAACGGCATCATGACGTGCAGTGAGCTGTCTTGTGGTCCAGATGAGATCTGCAAGATTCAAAATGGCCTGCGGGGATGTTATCCCGCCGGCACCGTGACGTGCCACATCTACGGTGACCCACATTACACCACCTTTGATGGGAAACTTCACCACTTCCAGGGTGCCTGCAACTACACCGTGGTGGAGACCTGCGATAACTCCTCTGGCAGTTTTAGGGTTACCACCCGAAATGAACACCGGGGCAGCCCCAGCTGGACAGCCATTAACTCCGTCGCTCTCACCCTGGATGGCGTCCACATTGCCCTCAGGAAGAACAGGATGGTCTACGTAAGCGCCTATCTCATCTTCATCCGGAATGTATTCCGTTGTGTGCTTTTTATGTCATGTGAATCTGCTTTAACCAGCCTATAGTCTTTCTTAAACTCTCAATGCGTTACAAGAAATAGGCCCCTTGAGATCTTGGAATCCATGTCAGCAAATACTGTCTAGTGACTTGAATTAAGAGCAAGAGTCCTCATTACTTGGGTGAGCTTGGGTGACCCGCTTACCCTCTCTGTTTCTCAGTGCACCTGTCTGTACAGTCCGCATAAAAATTCATTCTCGCCTCCCAGTGATTAGTGAAGTTAAGCGATTGGAGATTTATAGTGCCTGAGAATAATGACTTTCTTTCCAGGCCATTCATAACTAGAGAAGGTGTAAAAGAGCATGTGTTGGGAGTAAACATTTTAAAATCAGCCGGCCGTGATCACTTGCACCCAAGAGTTCTCGAATGGCTGGGGGAGATCTCTGGCCCACTGAGGTTGATTTTTAATAAATCTCGGACAACCAGGGACCTCCCAGAAGACTGGAAGAGTGAGAAAGTTGTGTCAAGAGTTAAAAATGACAAGTGGTGTGACCCTGGTAATGATGTGGGGAATCGTCGTCCTTTGGGGCTACATCTATTGGGGTTCTGCGGGGATCAGTTCTAAAACGGGCACTAATCAGTATTTCTATCAATGATTTGAAAGCAAATATAAGTTGATAGCTGTGATTCAAATGGTGGATGACACAAAGACTGAGGACGTACTAAAATAATGATGAGGACAGGGCAGTCATACAGAGCCGTCTGGATCCTGGTAAGCGGGGCCCACTCAGAGAAAATGTAGTTTTGGGTACACGCACACAGGGAAGTAGTGAGTTGAAGCCGGCAGGTGATTTTACCTGTGCGTGCGGCATTCTTGAGGATGATAACAGAGTACTGCGGACACCAGTTCCGGTGCTCACCTTTTAAAAGGACTTTACCGAAAGGGGAGAGGGTGCAGAGAAGAGCCCCGAAAATGCAAGGGGGCTTGCGTGGTTTGGATGTGGCAAATATTTCCATAAATTCCAGTGCTTTTTAAAAGCCAAGACGTGTTCTACAGATGGTTTTTGTTTACACTTTACAAATGCCATGTCTGGAAAAGTCTGTGCCCCAGAATATTTTTCTTCATTCTGCACTATATGCAAGATATGAAAAAGCAAGGGTCTTTGGGAACGTGACAGTGGAGAACATACACTTTTCCTTCTGTCCTTCTTTCCCATTCAGATTAATGGTGCCCTGGCCTCTCCCCCTGAAACTCCTCTCCCTGGAGTGACCGTTTCACTCATCGGACGCTACGTACAAATTACTACCACCCTGGGCGTCCAGCTGCAGTTCAATGGGGACCACGAGCTCTTTGTAAGAGTGACTGAGAAGTACAAAGGGCGGCTGTGCGGATTGTGCGGGACGTACACCGGGACCCAGCAGGACGACTTCACGAGACCTGATGGGGTCGTGGTGGCAGACGCCAATGAATTTGGAGCCAGCTGGAGGGTGCCTGACGATGAGTGGCCGTGAGTCATTGTTGATTAACAGTCCCTAGGTAGACAGCGCACTGGAAAGTGAGACTGTTGATCTAGGTTCAGTCTGGCATTAGCAAGACTAAATGCACACGTTGACATTACCAATTATGTTACCTATTTATACGCAGAAGCGACTTCTAGATGGGCTGTCTCCTAGACCCAGTGCAAAGGAAATGTTATTTCCATCCTGACTCCACTCAGGTTATTCCGCTTTTCCCCTGCGAGAGGACGTCCTATTTTCCTTTTCTCCTGCGAATGAGAGTAGCAATATTGATTCTGACAGAGGGCTTGTCCCCATGAAGAATTACTTTGCACAAGCCAGGGTGTGAGTCTACCCTGCACTAGTCTGCCACGGGCTGACGGTCCTATTTCAAAGAGGACTAGATCAAGTCTCCGGACCAAACTGTCCCCTCCGGGCAGAGCGAGCACTCGAGCCGACCTGCCCCTGTTGCTCGGGCCGGTGTAGGTGGGAGCAGCCCCTCCCGCAGCAGAACCTGCCAGGGACACGGCTCTGCATGACATGGCAGCCTGTCTGCACAGGGCCCGAGTCCCTAACATCACCGCTTGGGCCCTACGCACTCCCTGCAGCAGCACCCCCACCCTGCAAGACTGGGCCCCTGGGTGGCAGCAGGGCAGCTGTGCTGCCCATCCCCAGGAATCTCTCTCTCCTTAGCTCCTGGTACTTCAGCAGTGTTGCTCTCCAGGGCAGCGAGTGGCTCATGTCCTCGTTCCCTTTCCTACCTGTTTGTCTCCTGGAGCTACACAATGTCTTTTAAGGGAGGTCATGGATGCCGGATAGTCTGTGTAGCAAGGAGACATTTCATCCAAAGTCAAATTTCAAACCTTTTCCGTGCATAAACTAAGAGAAGCCAAACCCAAGGTGCAAAGAGAATACAAAGGGCCTCAATACTCCCCCGGAAGGCGCCCAACTTTTAGAGAGAAATAGGAAGGTATGGCCCATTTTAAAAGAGACCCTGAACTGCGGAATCACTAACAGGGCTTCTCCATCCTCTTGTTCTGAAAGGCAATGGGACACATCCTCAGCCTCAAGCAGTGGTCCCCAAACGTTTTTGTCCATGCCTCCCCTTTTCCTGGTCCATGACTCCCTGGGAGCAACGGTTGGGAGCGGGGCTGGTGCTGCAGCTGGAGCCTCGGCTGGGAGTGGGGCCGGCAGGTGGATGCCTGAAGCCAGGGGCCGCGGCCAGGAGCGGAGCTGGGATCCAGTGTGCGAGGTCGGGGCCGGACCTGCAGCTGGGGCCGGGGAGCAGGGCTGGAGTAGCTGGGGCCGGAGCAGGACTGGGTGGCGCTACTTCCCCGCGCCCCATGGGGGCTGGTCTGGGCCTCCCTGGGCCTCCTCAAAGGTTCCTGTGCGCCCCCCTCGGGGAGCAAGACCCACAGCCTGAGGACCACTGGCCTAAAGAATAACAGACTAGAAAGTGAATAAAGGTCTCAGGATTTCAAACTCCACATGTGATAACGTGCCCTTTACTTTGTATTCATGTTGGTGGATGATTTGCAGTCCTTGGAGAGGTGCCTCAGGTTGGATTTGAGCATTTCTGGCAACGGACGCATATTTACTCTCAATTTTTAAAGAGAATTGTGTACTTTCAGATCCCCAGGCCTGCGTAAGCTTGTGTTCCTTTGTGTTCTCTAGGTGTAATACAACGATCCTGCCACCGGTAACGTGCACTCCCTCCGAGCAGCTGGCAGCCGAGGAGCGGTGTGGAATCCTAACGCACCGCGACGGCCCATTCGCACCCTGCCATTCTGCGGTGCCACCCCACCTGTACCTTGAGAGCTGTGTCTACGACCAGTGTGCCACAGGAGGAAGCTCTGAGCAGCTCTGCAATGATCTGGAATCGTATGCGGCAGCCTGTGCAGAGGCAGGAGTCTCTCTTGGGGAATGGACGGCGGACACTATCTGCGGTAAATTTCAGCCGGTATCAGTAGATGCCTATGTGCCAAATTGTACACCCACAGCATTTGTGGGGAGGAGCATTTAGTCACTGTTCCTACAGTGCAATCACAAAGCGGGAGTTGCACGGTAGAAGGTGCCATCTTATTTGTGCAGATAAGAACATCTCTAATACCAGTACACTGGCTGTAGCCACAGGGGAGCAAGAAAAGCCCTTTACCAGTGTTTTTCCAAAGTTTCCTCTCTGACCGCAGCTTTCTTCGGAGTGCTGCTTTTCCTGGCATGTTTGTACTGGCATGTTAGCCATAACTCTTTCCACTTGGCAAATGCTATATTTTAAAATGTCTGTAGTCTGAGGGAGAAAGTCATTCGCTACCGCAGACGTGACAGGTGCGTAGGAAGTTCCTGCTCCGGGAGCTAGCGTTGGGAGACAGGAGGGAGAAGCCTCCTTTGGGATCGTCACAGGAAATATCACCTCTCTCCTGTTCCTTTTCCAATTCCTCCAGCTCCTTGTAACATGTCCTGTTCATTTGACACTGACTTCTGTGACTGGACACAGTCAGTCTCTGACAGCTTGGACTGGAAACGACACCGGGGGCCAACCTCCTCGCCAAACACGGGACCCTCGTACGACCACACGACAGGAGGTAGGGACTGCAGCCTCCACCTAGCTCTCTTGCGTAATGACGTGGTTAGTAGGAAAGGAATTCAGGAGCAGGCTGGAAGGGCCTTTGGGTCAAATACAGAGTCCAGGCCTCTCGGGGCAGATCCAGAGCCCACGGAGGTCAAGGAGAAGACTCCCATTAAGATCAACAAGCCTTGGATTACTAGAGGATGAATGGTATCCAGGGTGAAAGTATTATATCACAAAAAATCAGTGACTTTCCTCATTGGAAGAGACCGGATATCTTATTTAGCCGAAACCGGCTCTTGCAACCACAACAAAACATCTCCCTGTGGCCTGCAAAGCAACAAACCTAGATGACTGGATAAATAAATGGAAAGGAAGGAGCTGAGAGCACTGTTTGGAGTCTCTCCTGGAATTGTGTGTGCTTCCCGTAGAAACACTGGCAACAGAATTCTATATCACTTGTGTTCCATTAAGGATCGAATGTCGGCTGTGATGTTTATGCTCTTAGGAGTGTTGTCATTGTTTGTCATGTCCTATAGCTTGTACATTCCTTCGTAACACACTGTTTGTTTCAGATGGTTACTTCATCTACTTGCAAGCGAGCGAGGCCAGCTCTGGAGCTGTGGCTCACTTGCAGAGTCCTGTGTGCAGTGCCAATGGACCCCATTGTTTCCGCTTCTGGTATCACATGTACGGAGTGGCTCGCACAATGGCACTGAGAGTTTATGTCGCTGAGGATGCAGCACCACGTCTGGTCTGGTCAGAGACAGGAAATAAGGGCGATAGGTGGAACTTGGCAGAAGTCACTGTGTATAGCGGAGGAAATATGCAGGTAGGTGAAATCATTTGCCTTGACTCTCACGATGATAGGGCTTTAATGAAGAACAAATGGGTATGAAAGAAACTAACTCTGGCAACTTCCCCTTCCCCTAGATCCTCCTGGAGGGACAGCGGGGTGAAGATTTCCGCAGTGACGTAGCAGTGGATGATGTATCTCTAATAAACGGATATTGCCCAGGTACAGCGCATCATGTCAGAGTTTCTGTTTTTATGGACAGGGCTACTTGGTGATCATGGTCAGTGTTTCCTTTGTTTGGAACAAGAACAGGTGAATTACAGAACATTTCTATGACATTGTCTCCTTGTAGGAGATGTACCTCCAACAACTGTGAGCACCACATCAACCACCTCTACCCCTTCTGTAGGGACAACCACACCACCTCCGTCGCCAAGTTCAGGTGAATTTCTCTGATATAAATGACTCCTTAAAGATCTGCAATTAATTGGCATGTCACGCCGATCCTCAGGTTCTGCACAGCTCTTCTGCTCTTACTCCGTGTGAATGGGAGGGCAGAATACGTCCCAAAGCTTAGAAAGGATCCAGGCGACTAGCAGTGTTGTTGTAGCCATCTCGATCCGAGGAAATTAGAGAGACAAGGTGGATGAGGTCATATCTTTTATTCGACCAGCGTGTGTTGGAAAGAGAGCCAAGCATTTGAGCTGCCACCTTGACATTTGCAGGAACATTCTGAGTGAGTTTCCCGTACCTGAAGAAGAGCTCTGTGTAAGCTTGACACCTTGTCTCTCTCAGCAACGGAAGTTGGCCCAGTAAAAGAGATCACCTCCCCCACCTTGTCTCTTTGGTGAACAGGCTAATTCCTATCAGGAAACCCGGGAAGCAGGTGCAGTAGGAAGTATTCTAAGCGTGATGGGTGGCGGCCGGTGAACAGCTCAGGCCTGGAACGAATGTTTCCAAACCAGGTTGTCCGACTCTAACAGGACCAGAAGCCATTGTGGAAGTGATTGAAGTAAAGCTGTGATTTATTGTGCTTTGCCCCCCAGAGTCTTGTGTGGTAGCAGGGGACCCTCACTACTATACCTTTGATAAACAAACCCATCATTTCATGGGGACCTGCGCCTACACCCTGTCCAAACTGTGTGATGGGAACAGCACGCTGCCCTACTTCAATGTGGAAGCAGCGAATGAGCGCAGAGGAGGCAACACACGCGTGTCCTATGTTCAATATGTGGATGTTGATGTTCATGGCCTCAGGATAACACTAGAGAAGGGGGGAGTCGTGAAGGTAGGTGCAGGGACGGGGGCTGAGTGGCTTGTTGAGAAGGACCGTGGAAGATCATTTATTTACGTGCAGGGCTTGCCTTCTTCATGTCTAGGTAAATGGAAAGGGAGAGATTATCATCCCCTTTGCACCATCGCCGGGTGTGCAAATCTCCCCCAGTGGGCTTTACGTCATGGTCAGCACAGACTTTGGGTTGACCGTGAAGTTTGATGGGAACCATCGAGTGGAAGTGACCCTTCCGAGCTCCTTTAAAGAGAAGGTTTGTGGGATGTGTGGGAACTACAACGGGAACGCAGCGGACGACTTTCTGAATCCAGATGGGGTGCTGGAGCCAGACTCTACCAGCCTTGGCAACAGCTGGCAGGTCTCCAACCACAGCAGGTTCGTAGCTCTCAGGGCAGATCTGGAATTGTCTGAGAAATATCAAATGTCAAGGGAAAGCCACGCAACAAACCAAGGGCTTCTCTCTTTTCTCTCAGTTGTCCTCCAGGAACAGGCCATGACCCAGTCTGCGACGAGAGTGATAAGCAAATCATTGCCAGCAGTGCTTTCTGTGGTCTCCTGACAGATGTGAACGGCCCATTTAAAAAGTGCCACGGGGTGCTAGATCCTACCATTTACTTCAGCAGCTGCGTTTATGACCAGTGTGAATTGCAAATGGATCCCGACTCCCTCTGCAAGAGTCTGCAGTCTTATGCAGATGCCTGTCGGTCAAGGGGAGCTGAGATAGATGCCTGGAGGAATGCTACCTTCTGCCGTAAGTACAAGCAAACGAGAGATTTTCCACTGCGAGTTTCGTGCGCGTGTTTGGAATGGCTTTCATAGCTCAAGAAAAGAAATTGTTTGGAACCAGGACAACGTGAAAGCATTGCACGGGCTGAGGCATTGTTTTAGGTTTCATTGTGCATCGTGCTCTTCTGCAGTTGCAGTAGAACCTTGGGAGTTTCCGTTTCCGAGAAACTAACCTGGCATCAATTGGTGCGGCTGATACCGTAACTAAGTAGAACTGAAGCTGGCGTATCATCACACTGCGTATGAAATAATTACCGGTGAACAGGTAGCAAAGAGAATTGATTAGTGTAATACTTTCTGATCTATGACAGAGCTTTTGTTTTCTCCAGCCATTGACTGTCCACGCAACAGTCACTATGAAGCATGCACGGCAGCCTGCCCTGCTACCTGTGTCAACCCGATGGCTCCTGCCAGCTGCAGCCTGCCGTGTGTGGAAGGATGCGTGTGCGACAGTGGCTATCTTCTCTACAACGACGGCTGTGTCCCCAGCAGTCAGTGCGGGTGTTGGCACAATGGCAAACACTACCCTGTTGGCTCTGAATTCTGGACCGATGACACCTGCTCCTCTAAATGCAGATGTCCCTCTCAGGGGAGCAAAGTAACGTGCTCGAACGCAGCCTGCCCAGCCGATCATTACTGTGGGGTTCAGAACGGAAAACCTGGCTGCTACCCTGAGACTTACGGGATCTGCCGCGTCCACAACGACCCTCATTACAACACGTTTGACAGAGAGACTCACCACTTCATGGGGATCTGCACCTACACGCTGGCCAAAGTGTGCGCCAACTCCAGCTCTCTGCCTTATTTCAATGTAGAAGCCAAGAACGAGCATCGAGGGAAGCCCACGGTGTCCTATGTGCAGAAAGTCCTGGTGGAGGTTTATGGACAACACATAGAAATTCTCAGAAACCGTCCAAGCCAAGTGCTGGTAAGGAGCATTTCCTCAGTAGGCGGATTCCAGATGGGGAGTGAGCTTTGCTCTGTGTCCTTCTGTAAAGGTGACCGTTTCTCACTCTCCTCTGTTGAATATGAGTCAAGAGTGTGCCCTGGTTGCCAAAAAGGCAAACGGCATTTTGGGCTGTGTAAGTAGGAGCATTGCCAGCAGATCGAGGGACTTGATCGTTCCCCTCTATTCGGCATTGGTGAGGCCTCATCTGGAGTACTGTGTCCAGTTTTGGGCCCCACACTACAAGAAGGATGTGGAAAAATTGGAAAGAGTCCAGCGGAGGGCAACAAAGATGGCTGGGGGGCTGGAGCACATGACTTATGAGGAGAGGCTGAGGGAACTGGGATTGTTTAGTCTGCAGAAGAGAAGAATGAGGGGGGATTTGATAGCTGCTTTCAACTACCCGAAAGGGGGTTCCAAAGAGGATGGATCTAGAGTGTTCTCCGTAGTAGCAGATGACAGAACAAGGAGTAATGGTCTCAAGTTGCAGTGGGGGAGGTTTAGGTTGGATATTAGGAAAACCATTTGCGCTAGGAGGGCGGTGAAGCACTGGAATGGGTTACCTAGGGAGGTGGTGGAATCTCCTTCCTGAGAGGTTTTTAAGGTCAGGCTTAAAAAAAGCCCCGGCTGGGATGATTTAGTTGGGGATTGGTCCTGCTTTGAGCAGGGGGTTGGACTAGATGACCTCCTGAGGTCCCTTCCAAGCCTGATATTCTATGATTCTGTGATTCCATGAAGGGGAATCCGTGACTCCTGATCTTTCAAACTTTATATCAAGACGGTCTAAAGGGACCGTCTGCAGCAGGCAGCAGGAGCCTTCCTGGGGTTTGGGTGTTACATCTGGACAACTTGCGCCGAGAGAAAAACAATCCGGAAATGCATGTTACTATTTCACATAGTAATTATTTGCAGAGAATGAGTCAATTTCATTGCTAATTTCTCCCTTACAAGTGTCCTAGGGCCTCACGCTGTGGAAATCACGTGGTACTTTTCCTTCCGTTTCCCATTAGGTCAATGAGGTGCTAATGACCCTTCCTGTCAGCGCAGCTGGTGGGTCAATCAGAGTGAGAAGGAGCGGACGATACGTTACCCTAGAGACAGATTTCAGACTGAGGGTTTCCTATGACACCGATCACTCGGTGGAAGTGAAGGTGCCCACCACCTATTTCAACAGGACCTGTGGCATGTGCGGTAACTTTAACGGTCGGAGACAGGATGACTATATGATGCCCGATGGGCAGCAAGCCAAGAACTCTAATGAGCTGGGAAACAGCTGGCGTGTCATGGACGACGATCCCCCTTGCGGTGGCATCCCACCACCAGACCCCTGCCCTGCAGACCAGGAGAACCTCTACAGAACAGACAGATTCTGTGGCATGATAACCCAGAGGCCTGGCCCCTTTGCGGTCTGCCACTCCGTGATCAATCCTGAGAGCATCTTTGAGAGCTGCGTCTATGACCTCTGTGCGCTGAATGGGAGTGAGGAGCTCCTGTGTAGCGCTCTGGCGACCTACGCGGATGCGTGTCAGGAAGCCGGGGTGACGCTCCCCCCCTGGAGAAATGCCACCTTCTGCGGTGAGTAGCAAATCTGGAGCATCCAGTCCTTGTTCAGCAAACAAATTTGTTCTTTATTGACCTTACGTGGTTGTGAAGAACCCTTGTCACCACGTCTGTCTCCCTGTGGGGCGTGTTTCCAAGGGGGCTTTGTCGATCTTAATTCTCTTCCCCTCGTTACCCTTTCAGCTCCCACCTGCTCTGCTCCCAACAGCCACTACGAGCCTTGTATGACTGCCTGCCCTGCCACATGTCTGGACCGCCTCGCCCCCGAGAACTGCAGCAAGCCCTGTGTCGAGGGCTGCGCGTGTAATTCTGGATTCGTGCTCAGCGGAAGCGCCTGTGTGCCAGAAGCCAAGTGTGGCTGTGTGTTCCAGGACATATACTACAGTGTGAGTGAAACCACGGACCTCAGCGCCCTGGGTGGGGAACTGATCTGCCAGCATCACCCTCTTTAATGGCATCCGTTCATGCATTTCTTGTGTGTGTCTCCCGGCAGGAAGGAGAGCGCGTTGTGACGGAGAACTGCACGAGCCGTTGTGAGTGTCTTGGAAACGGCATCATGACGTGCAGTGAGCTGTCTTGTGGTCCAGATGAGATCTGCAAGATTCAAAATGGCCTGCGGGGATGTTATCCCGCCGGCACCGCGACGTGCCACATCTACGGTGACCCACATTACACCACCTTTGATGGGAAACTTCACCACTTCCAGGGTGCCTGCAACTACACCGTGGTGGAGACCTGCGATAACTCCTCTGGCAGTTTTAGGGTTACCACCCGAAATGAACACCGGGGCAGCCCCAGCTGGACAGCCATTAACTCCGTCGCTCTCACCCTGGATGGCGTCCACATTGCCCTCAGGAAGAACAGGATGGTCTACGTAAGCGCCTATCTCATCTTCATCCGGAATGTATTCCGTTGTGTGCTTTTTATGTCATGTGAATCTGCTTTAACCAGCCTATAGTCTTTCTTAAACTCTCAATGCATTACAAGAAATAGGCCCCTTGAGATCTTGGAATCCATGTCAGCAAATACTGTCTAGTGACTTGAATTAAGAGCAAGAGTCCTCATTACTTGGGTGAGCTTGGGTGACCCGCTTACCCTCTCTGTTTCTCAGTGCACCTGTCTGTACAGTCCGCATAAAAATTCATTCTCGCCTCCCAGTGATTAGTGAAGTTAAGCGATTGGAGATTTATAGTGCCTGAGAATAATGACTTTCTTTCCAGGCCATTCATAACTAGAGAAGGTGTAAAAGAGCATGTGTTGGGAGTAAACATTTTAAAATCAGCCGGCCGTGATCACTTGCACCCAAGAGTTCTCGAATGGCTGGGGGAGATCTCTGGCCCACTGAGGTTGATTTTTAATAAATCTCGGACAACCAGGGACCTCCCAGAAGACTGGAAGAGTGAGAAAGTTGTGTCAAGAGTTAAAAATGACAAGTGGTGTGACCCTGGTAATGATGTGGGGAATCGTCGTCCTTTGGGGCTACATCTATTGGGGTTCTGCGGGGATCAGTTCTAAAACGGGCACTAATCAGTATTTCTATCAATGATTTGAAAGCAAATATAAGTTGATAGCTGTGATTCAAATGGTGGATGACACAAAGACTGAGGACGTACTAAAATAATGATGAGGACAGGGCAGTCATACAGAGCCGTCTGGATCCTGGTAAGCGGGGCCCACTCAGAGAAAATGTAGTTTTGGGTACACGCACACAGGGAAGTAGTGAGTTGAAGCCGGCAGGTGATTTTACCTGTGCGTGCGGCATTCTTAAGGCTGATAACAGAGTACTGCGGACACCAGTTCCGGTGCTCACCTTTTAAAAGGACTTTACCGAAAGGGGAGAGGGTGCAGAGAAGAGCCCCGAAAATGCAAGGGGGCTTGCGTGGTTTGGATGTGGCAAATATTTCCATAAATTCCAGTGCTTTTTAAAAGCCAAGACGTGTTCTACAGATGGTTTTTGTTTACACTTTACAAATGCCATGTCTGGAAAAGTCTGTGCCCCAGAATATTTTTCTTCATTCTGCACTATATGCAAGATATGAAAAAGCAAGGGTCTTTGGGAACGTGACAGTGGAGAACATACACTTTTCCTTCTGTCCTTCTTTCCCATTCAGATTAATGGTGCCCTGGCCTCTCCCCCTGAAACTCCTCTCCCTGGAGTGACCGTTTCACTCATCGGACGCTACGTACAAATTACTACCACCCTGGGCGTCCAGCTGCAGTTCAATGGGGACCACGAGCTCTTTGTAAGAGTGACTGAGAAGTACAAAGGGCGGCTGTGCGGATTGTGCGGGACGTACACCGGGACCCAGCAGGACGACTTCACGAGACCTGATGGGGTCGTGGTGGCAGACGCCAATGAATTTGGAGCCAGCTGGAGGGTGCCTGACGATGAGTGGCCGTGAGTCATTGTTGATTAACAGTCCCTAGGTAGACAGCGCACTGGAAAGTGAGACTGTTGATCTAGGTTCAGTCTGGCATTAGCAAGACTAAATGCACACGTTGACATTACCAATTATGTTACCTATTTATACGCAGAAGCGACTTCTAGATGGGCTGTCTCCTAGACCCAGTGCAAAAGAAATGTTATTTCCATCCTGACTCCACTCAGGTTATTCCGCTTTTCCCCTGCGAGAGGACGTCCTATTTTCCTTTTCTCCTGCGAATGAGAGTAGCAATATTGATTCTGACAGAGGGCTTGTCCCCATGAAGAATTACTTTGCACAAGCCAGGGTGTGAGTCTACCCTGCACTAGTCTGCCACGGGCTGACGGTCCTATTTCAAAGAGGACTAGATCAAGTCTCCGGACCAAACTGTCCCCTCCGGGCAGAGCGAGCACTCGAGCCGACCTGCCCCTGTTGCTCGGGCCGGTGTAGGTGGGAGCAGCCCCTCCCGCAGCAGAACCTGCCAGGGACGCGGCTCTGCATGACATGGCAGCCTGTCTGCACAGGGCCCGAGTCCCTAACATCACCGCTTGGGCCCTATGCACTCCCTGCAGCAGCACCCCCACCCTGCAAGACTGGGCCCCTGGGTGGCAGCAGGGCAGCTGTGCTGCCCATCCCCAGGAATCTCTCTCTCCTTAGCTCCTGGTACTTCAGCAGTGTTGCTCTCCAGGGCAGCGAGTGGCTCATGTCCTCGTTCCCTTTCCTACCTGTTTGTCTCCTGGAGCTACACAATGTCTTTTAAGGGAGGTCATGGATGCCGGATAGTCTGTGTAGCAAGGAGACATTTCATCCAAAGTCAAATTTCAAACCTTTTCCGTGCATAAACTAAGAGAAGCCAAACCCAAGGTGCAAAGAGAATACAAAGGGCCTCAATACTCCCCCCGGAAGGCGCCCAACTTTTAGAGAGAAATAGGAAGGTATGGCCCATTTTAAAAGAGACCCTGAACTGCGGAATCACTAACAGGGCTTCTCCATCCTCTTGTTCTGAAAGGCAATGGGACACATCCTCAGCCTCAAGCAGTGGTCCCCAAACGTTTTTGTCCATGCCTCCCCTTTTCCTGGTCCATGACTCCCTGGGAGCAACGGTTGGGAGCGGGGCTGGTGCTGCAGCTGGAGCCTCGGCTGGGAGTGGGGCCGGCAGGTGGATGCCTGAAGCCAGGGGCCGCGGCCAGGAGCGGAGCTGGGATCCAGTGTGCGAGGTCGGGGCCGGACCTGCAGCTGGGGCCGGGGAGCAGGGCTGGAGTAGCTGGGGCCGGAGCAGGACTGGGTGGCGCTACTTCCCCGCGCCCCCATGGGGGCTGGTCTGGGCCTCCCTGGGCCTCCTCAAAGGTTCCTGTGCGCCCCCCTCGGGGAGCAAGACCCACAGCCTGAGGACCACTGGCCTAAAGAATAACAGACTAGAAAGTGAATAAAGGTCTCAGGATTTCAAACTCCACATGTGATAACGTGCCCTTTACTTTGTATTCATGTTGGTGGATGATTTGCAGTCCTTGGAGAGGTGCCTCAGGTTGGATTTGAGCATTTCTGGCAACGGACGCATATTTACTCTCAATTTTTAAAGAGAATTGTGTATTTTCAGATCCCCAGGCCTGCGTAAGCTTGTGTTCCTTTGTGTTCTCTAGGTGTAATACAACGATCCTGCCACCGGTAACGTGCACTCCCTCCGAGCAGCTGGCAGCCGAGGAGCGGTGTGGAATCCTAACGCACCGCGACGGCCCATTCGCACCCTGCCATTCTGCGGTGCCACCCCACCTGTACCTTGAGAGCTGTGTCTACGACCAGTGTGCCACAGGAGGAAGCTCTGAGCAGCTCTGCAATGATCTGGAATCGTATGCGGCAGCCTGTGCAGAGGCAGGAGTCTCTCTTGGGGAATGGACGGCGGACACTATCTGCGGTAAATTTCAGCCGGTATCAGTAGATGCCTATGTGCCAAATTGTACACCCACAGCATTTGTGGGGAGGAGCATTTAGTCACTGTTCCTACAGTGCAATCACAAAGCGGGAGTTGCACGGTAGAAGGTGCCATCTTATTTGTGCAGATAAGAACATCTCTAATACCAGTACACTGGCTGTAGCCACAGGGGAGCAAGAAAAGCCCTTTACCAGTGTTTTTCCAAAGTTTCCTCTCTGACCGCAGCTTTCTTCGGAGTGCTGCTTTTCCTGGCATGTTTGTACTGGCATGTTAGCCATAACTCTTTCCACTTGGCAAATGCTATATTTTAAAATGTCTGTAGTCTGAGGGAGAAAGTCATTCGCTACCGCAGACGTGACAGGTGCGTAGGAAGTTCCTGCTCCGGGAGCTAGCGTTGGGAGACAGGAGGGAGAAGCCTCCTTTGGGATCGTCACAGGAAATATCACCTCTCTCCTGTTCCTTTTCCAATTCCTCCAGCTCCTTGTAACATGTCCTGTTCATTTGACACTGACTTCTGTGACTGGACACAGTCAGTCTCTGACAGCTTGGACTGGAAACGACACCGGGGGCCAACCTCCTCGCCAAACACGGGACCCTCGTACGACCACACGACAGGAGGTAGGGACTGCAGCCTCCACCTAGCTCTCTTGCGTAATGACGTGGTTAGTAGGAAAGGAATTCAGGAGCAGGCTGGAAGGGCCTTTGGGTCAAATACAGAGTCCAGGCCTCTCGGGGCAGATCCAGAGCCCACGGAGGTCAAGGAGAAGACTCCCATTAAGATCAACAAGCCTTGGATTACTAGAGGATGAATGGTATCCAGGGTGAAAGTATTATATCACAAAAAATCAGTGACTTTCCTCATTGGAAGAGACCGGATATCTTATTTAGCCGAAACCGGCTCTTGCAACCACAACAAAACATCTCCCTGTGGCCTGCAAAGCAACAAACCTAGATGACTGGATAAATAAATGGAAAGGAAGGAGCTGAGAGCACTGTTTGGAGTCTCTCCTGGAATTGTGTGTGCTTCCCGTAGAAACACTGGCAACAGAATTCTATATCACTTGTGTTCCATTAAGGATCGAATGTCGGCTGTGATGTTTATGCTCTTAGGAGTGTTGTCATTGTTTGTCATGTCCTATAGCTTGTACATTCCTTCGTAACACACTGTTTGTTTCAGATGGTTACTTCATCTACTTGCAAGCGAGCGAGGCCAGCTCTGGAGCTGTGGCTCACTTGCAGAGTCCTGTGTGCAGTGCCAATGGACCCCATTGTTTCCGCTTCTGGTATCACATGTACGGAGTGGCTCGCACAATGGCACTGAGAGTTTATGTCGCTGAGGATGCAGCACCACGTCTGGTCTGGTCAGAGACAGGAAATAAGGGCGATAGGTGGAACTTGGCAGAAGTCACTGTGTATAGCGGAGGAAATATGCAGGTAGGTGAAATCATTTGCCTTGACTCTTACGATGATAGGGCTTTAATGAAGAACAAATGGGTATGAAAGAAACTAACTCTGGCAACTTCCCCTTCCCCTAGATCCTCCTGGAGGGACAGCGGGGTGAAGATTTCCGCAGTGACGTAGCAGTGGATGATGTATCTCTAATAAACGGATATTGCCCAGGTACAGCGCATCATGTCAGAGTTTCTGTTTTTATGGACAGGGCTACTTGGTGATCATGGTCAGTGTTTCCTTTGTTTGGAACAAGAACAGGTGAATTACAGAACATCTCTATGACATTGTCTCCTTGTAGGAGATGTATCTCCAACAACTGTGAGCACCACATCAACCACCTCTACCCCTTCTGTAGGGACAACCACACCACCTCCGTCGCCAAGTTCAGGTGAATTTCTCTGATATAAATGACTCCTTAAAGATCTGCAATTAATTGGCATGTCACGCCGATCCTCAGGTTCTGCACAGCTCTTCTGCTCTTACTCCGTGTGAATGGGAGGGCAGAATACGTCCCAAAGCTTAGAAAGGATCCAGGCGACTAGCAGTGTTGTTGTAGCCATCTCGATCCGAGGAAATTAGAGAGACAAGGTGGATGAGGTCATATCTTTTATTCGACCAGCGTGTGTTGGAAAGAGAGCCAAGCATTTGAGCTGCCACCTTGACATTTGCAGGAACATTCTGAGTGAGTTTCCCGTACCTGAAGAAGAGCTCTGTGTAAGCTTGACACCTTTTCTCTTTGTTTCAAAGTTGCCAAAATGTTTTGCTTTGTTTTGACTCAATTTTTTTCTGCTTTCCGATTTGCTGAATTTTTTTTTAAGTCGTTTTCAGTTCAGTCAGAAACAAAATATTTTTTGATTTTTTTGGAATTTCCAGGGAATAAAAAAAATTCTTTATTTGTTCATGTCAAGATTCCTTCCCCACTCTGAACCTAGGATACAGATGTGGGGACCTGCATGAAAGACCCCCTAAGCTTATTCTTACCAACTTAGGTTAAAACTTCCCCAAGGTACAAACTTTTACCTTTTGTCCTTGGACCTCATACTGCCACCACCAAGCGTGTTAAATAAAGAACAGGGAAAAAGCCCACTTGGAGACTTCTTCCGCCCAAAATATCCCCCCAAGCCCTACACCCTCTTTCCTGGGGAAGGCTTGATAAAAATCCTCACCAATTTGCATACGTGAACACAGACCCAAACCCTTGGATCTTAAAAACAAGGAAAAAGCAATCAGGTTCTTAAATAAGAATTTTAATTTAAGAAAAAGTTAAAGAAACACCTCTGTAATCAGGATGGTGAATACCTTACAGAGTAATTAGATTCAAAACACAGAGAATCCCTCTTGGCAAAACCTTAAGTTACAAAAAGACACAAATACAGGAATATACATTCCATTCAGCACAACTTATTTACCAGCCATTTAAACAAAACAGAAATCTTACGCATCTCTAGCTAGATAACTTACTAAATTCTAAGACTCCCTTCCTTTTCTGTTCCCTGCAAAAAGCATCACACAGACAGACAGACCCTTTGTTTCCCCCCTCCTCCAGATTTTAAACTATCTTGTCTCCTCATTGGTCATTTTGGGCAGGTGCCAGCGAGGTTATCTTAGCTTCTTAACCCTTTACAGGTAAAAGGACTTTGCCTCTGGCCAGGAGGGATTTTATAGCACTGTATGCAGAAAGGTGGTTACCCTTCCCTTTATATTTATGACAGTCCAGGTCTAATGAGAATGATTACACAAAAGGGGTCTGAAGCAAGGTGGCAGAGGCAGTCTACATTCCAGCATTTTCCTAACTTTACAGTGCTTGACTTTGGGAACTTAATTTTCAAATGTTATTTACTGTGTCTAACAATTATTTATATTGCAGTAGCATTTACAGGCCCTAATTTTGTTCTGTATGCATACGTTCTAAGAGACAATCCCTATCAGAAAAATATTGTGATCAAACTTAGAAAAAAGAAGACAAAACAACTTTTAGTGGCAATTAGGTTGCACCAAGACACAGCTGTGCACAAAAAACCAGAAGAGAATGGAAGGAGATACATGAAGGGGGAAAAAGTTCCTTTCTTTCAGATTGTCTAAAACATTGTCAAAAAAACTCCAGCACTAAGTTTAACATCCATCTCCAACCAATATTAAAAAGGCAATATGCACCATGGTTTAATCAACCTTACCCTCAACATGATTCTATCTCAGTTACATCAAGGGTACGCATACCTGACTTTCACAGGTTTCAGACATTCAGGAATCAGAAGAGTTGCTGTGTTAGTCTGTATCAGCAAAAACAACAAGGAGTCCTTGAGGCATCTTAGAGACAAAAAAATTTATATGGGCATAAGCTATCGTGGGAAAACTACAAGACTGTGGCTGCGAATAAATCCTTCTGTCTACTCACAGAGGAGGCCGGGGGGGGGTTAAAGACACGTTCCGTCTGTTTATCGTGAGGCGTTATTAGAGCTATTGCATTTTGAGATATGAAATGCGCTCAGTGTTTCTCGAATCACATTTCTCCTGATCACATGATCATTTCCAGTCCAAGAGGAAACTGTTCAAGAGTTATCCTATAGAACTTTTCATAGAACAGCATGAACAGCCTCTCAACGTGAATGTCTTTGTATCTTTTTCCAGTAGACACCTCAACGACTTCAAGTCCAACTACAGTAGGCACCAGTCCACCAGGTAAGATGGATCTCTCAGTGCTTCCTCAATCTCCTGGACATTTCCTGGTGGGCTGTGAACTCGGTGGCTGGGTGCAGATGAGGTTTCAAAGAACGTAACATCTGGGAGGCAGAACGGTTCATTTTGGAGAAGGGTCCCCAGTTCCCACCGTGTATGTTACTGAACCTCACGCTGGGTTCCTGGCCCTCACCAACCAATGCTGTGATCATCTCGTTAGAGTCTACAACAGTGCAAGGAACAAGCCCTGCTTCGGAGACCACTCCGCCCCACACAATAAGCAGCACAGGTTAATCTGCTAGGAGACTGTGGCTGAGAATAAATCCTTCTCTCTACTCACAGAGGAGGACTGGGGGTGGAGTTGGGGGGCAGGTGGTAAAGACACGTTCCGTCTGTTTATCGTGAGGCGTTTTAAGAGCTATTACGTTTTGAGATTGCGCTCAGTGTTGGTCGAATCACATTTCTCCTGATCACATGATCATTTAAAGTCCAAGAGGAAACTGTTCAAGAGTCGTCCTAGACTACTCCTCACAGAACAGAGTGACCAACCTCTTCATGTTATTTCCTTTGTATATTTTGCCAGGAGAGTCCCCGACCACAGCAACTCCAACGACAGCAGAGCCCTGTCAGACAGGTAACGTGGGTTCCTCCGTGTTGGACAAAGCTCCTCCCCATTCACATGTGGGGTGAGAAATTGGTGCCTGACTGCAGATTACGTTTCCACCCTAATAGCTGTTTGAAAACTCCACAGGACTTTTTCCAGATACTTTATCCCTTATGTGATGGCACAGGAAGGAGCTGACGGCTGATTCTTGCCAGTGCAAAGAGACAGTCAAAGACAAATCCCCTATCTTGCAATCACGGAGCTCCCTCCCCTGCAGTGGGAGTGGAGCTGGCATAGACCTTTGCAGGATCACTGGAGTTTGACCTGAGTAGGGAATGCAGAATCAAGCCCCAAATCACCCAATGTCACAAATGCAAACGTTGAACTCAAAGGGGTTGATTTAGAAAATACCAATGGGCTGCGGGGGGAAGGCAAATTAAAAACTACCAAGAGTCTAAGTTGCTCTTGCAAAGTACTCGCGCGCAGGGGTAGACACAGGTCATCTGCACGGTGCAGAGAGCCCGCAGGAGCAGGAACACGTCTCCCTTTTCTGAGAGAGCTACCAGGTCGCAGGTGTTTTGCATAACAGGCGTCTCTGAGAATGACGTGTCTCTGGATGCTGGGTGCTGTTTGGGCACATGTCATGTGCTCTGTGTTTCTAGAATCACATTTCTCACACGTGGTCATCTGCAGTCTAAAAAAGAGCTTCCGAGGGTTATCCTATAGAACTTTTCATAGAACAGCATGAACAGCCTCTCAACGTGAATGTCTTTGTATCTTTTTCCAGTAGACGCCTCAACGACTTCAAGTCCAACTACAGTAGGCACCAGTCCACCAGGTAAGGTGGATCTCTCAGTGCTTCCTCAATCTCCTGGACATTTCCTGGTGGGCTGTGAACTCGGTGGCTGGGTGCAGATGAGGTTTCAAAGAACGTAACATCTGGGAGGCAGAACGGTTCATTTTGGAGAAGGGTCCCCAGTTCCCACCGTGTATGTTACTGAACCTCACGCTGGGTTCCTGGCCCTCACCAACCAATGCTGTGATCATCTCGTTAGAGTCTACAACAGTGCAAGGAACAAGCCCTGCTTCGGAGACCACTCCGCCCCACACAATAAGCAGCACAGGTTAATCTGCTAGGAGACTGTGGCTGAGAATAAATCCTTCTCTCTACTCACAGAGGAGGACTGGGGGTGGAGTTGGGGGGCAGGTGGTAAAGACACGTTCCGTCTGTTTATCGTGAGGCGTTTTAAGAGCTATTACGTTTTGAAATTGCGCTCAGTGTTGGTCGAATCACATTTCTCCTGATCACATGATCATTTAAAGTCCCCAAGAGGAAACTGTTCAAGAGTCGTCCTAGTCTACTCCTCACAGAACAGAGTGACCAACCTCTTCATGTTATTTCCTTTGTATATTTTGCCAGGAGAGTCCCCGACCACAGCAACTCCAACGACAGCAGAGCCCTGTCAGACAGGTAACGTGGGTTCCTCCGTGTTGGACAAAGCTCCTCCCCATTCACATGTGGGGTGAGAAATTGGTGCCTGACTGCAGATTACGTTTCCACCCTAATAGCTGTTTGAAAACTCCACATTTATGTTTTAGGAAGGCAAGTCCAACAGTAATGCTGACCAGTCCCCCAGGTAGAGTTATTCCATCGGTGCGACCCAAAACCTTTTCACCTTACAAATGGTAAAGCAGCTGGTAGCTCTAGCCAAGTGTGGAACTAGTGCAGGTTTGTCTAAGCCTTTGAGTCTTGCTGGAGGCTAGCCCTAGTGCTCAGGGTCAGACCGGACAGAGCAAG